TTACTTTATTATTTCTCGTGTCGGTCAAACTTGACAAAGTTATTAGGGACGGAAGGAGTATATATGAGGCAATTTCTAAACTCCATAAGACGATTGTATTACTTGATGAAACAAAGATAATGTGATTGATCAATACATCTAGATTTTAAATTAAATCTAGTCACTTCAAATTTGGTTACCTGATGTGAATAAAATCACCCTTGGTCCTTGGGTGTATGTTCATACATTAATTTATACAGAAAGTATATACAAGTATAAGGAAGGTAATTAATACACAATATTACAGAATATTGATATTACTATAAATACAATAGGTATATCAAATTACTTCCTAACACCCCCCTTCAAGCTGAGCGTGGGATGACAAGTAACGCGAAGCTTGGAACGAATAAACTCAAACTGAGACCGCGAGAGCCCTTTTGTGAAGATGTCAGCTAATTGCAAAGCGGAAGGGACAAATTGAACCTTGAGCTTGCCTGAAGAAACCAATTCCCGTATGAAATGACAGTCGATGTCAATATGTTTTGCACGTTTGTGAGCTATTGGATTTTGAGATAGAAAGATAGCACTCTTGTTGTCACACAGAAGGAGTGGTGAATCTGGTAAAGAAACATGAAGATCACGAAGCAAATAGGTGAGCCAAATAACCTCAGAGGCAGTATTTGCTAAGGCACGGTATTCTGATTCACAACTAGAGCGAGCAACAGTGGGTTGTTTCTTGGCACTCCAAGATAGTAAATTGCCTCCATAAAATATAGCATACCCGTAAGTGGATCGTCGGGTTTCCAAGCAACGAGCCCAATCTGCATCAGAGTAACTTAAAATAGTTGGGGTCACAGCGGAGTGAGTGAAGTCAAGGCCATAAGAGATCGTACCCCTAACATAGCGCAAGATGCGTTTCACTGCTTGATAGTGATCAACCGTAGGAGAGTGTAAATATTGACTGACCGAATTAACGGCATATGATAAATCCGGGCGAGTGATCGTGAGATACTGCAAAGCACCAACAATGGAACGAAATAATGTAGGATCCGGAAAAGGAGAGCCAGAAGAACTGTGAAGCTGAGAACCTGGAGCCCATGGTGTGGAGACAGGTTTAGCATCAAGCATATGAGCTTTGTCTAAGATGTCTCTAGCATATTTCGATTGGCCGAGAAATAGACCAGTAGGCATGTGGGTAACTTCAAGACCCAAAAAGTAACTTAACTGACCCAAATCCTTTATGGAAAATTCATGATTAGTGCGAGAAATAAATTGTCGCAAAAAGGAGGGATTATTGCCAGTGACGATGATGTCGTCAACATATACAAGGAGATAAAGAAGTGTGGTTCCATGAGAGAAGATGAACAGAGAGTTGTCGGCCTGACTATTTCGAAATCCCAAACGCAAGAGAAAACTGCTAAAACGTTGAAACCAAGCCCGCGGCGCCTGCTTGAGGCCATATAACGCCTTTTTAAGCCGACATACATGGTGTGGAAACTTAGGATCAACATAACCGGCGGGCTGCTCCATGTAAACAGGTTGATCCAAGACACCATTTAAAAAGGCGTTTTTGACATCAAGTTGATGAAGAGGCCATCGACGCAAAACAACAATTGTCAATATTACTCGAACGGTAGCAGCCTTTACCACGGGACTAAAAGTGTGAGTGAAATCAAAACCAGGTAGTTGGGTAAAGCCTTGTGCCACAAGGCGAGCTTTAAGGCGGTCAACTGATCCATCAGCAAGGAATTTGGTGCGATAAACCCACTTAGAGCCAACAATATTAACACCAGATGGACGCGACACAAGATCCCAAGTTTGATTGGAATGAAGAGCAGCCATCTCTTCATCCATTGCAGCAACCCAACCTGGATATTTGGCCGCAGATTTATATCCTCTGGGTTCAGTTTGCGCAACAAGACTAGCAATGAGACCAGTAAGTTCATAGTCAGGGAATTGGCGGGGTTTAACAATACCGGACTGAGAGCGAGTTTGAATAGTGCGGATATGCGGCTGAGGAACAGGACTGGAAGAGATAGAAGAAGCTGAAGCCTGTGGTTCACTGTTAATAGTGCACTGTCCGGAGCATGAAGGTGAGGAGCTAATAGAGGAGGACATATCCCCACCGGAAGCTAAGTGAGAAGGAGTTGCGGCCGTGGACAGAGTGTCAGGACAAATATGGCATGGAGAAGTTTGAACCGGAACATAGGGCTGCGGAGAGAGACGAGCAATAGGTGGCTGATGAGAAACTGGGAGCCCAGGAGAGGTAGCAACCGGATCAAAGAAATCAGCAACATCTAGGGAGTCCAAGGGATGAAACGAAACAGTATTAGAGAAGGGAAAAGCATGTTCATCAAACTTGGCATGCCGGGAGATATAAAGACGACCTGTGGTGGCATCAAAACATTTGAATCCCTTGTGTTGAGTGCTATAGCCCAGAAATACACATGCAACTGAGCGAGGAGAAAATTTGTGTGGAGTTGTGGCTCGTAAGCAAGGATAGACACATCAACCGAAAGGATGAAAGGTTGAGTAATCAGGAGGACAACCAAAAAGAATCTCAAAAGGCGAGATGCCATGGAGTACTTGACTTGGCAACCTGTTTATAGTAAATACAGCAGCAGCAAAAGCATCTACCCAACAAGTTAAAGGAACAGATGAGTGAAATAGCATAGCAAGTCCGGTTTCAGTAATATGCCTGTGTTTCCGTTCTGCTCGCCCATTTTGAGCAGGGGTGGAGGGACACGACATTTGATGGTGAATACCATGAGAGTTCATGTAAGATTTCATACGATTATTCGTGAACTCAGTTCCACCGTCTGACTGAAAAACTCGTAGCTTACAGTTGAGTTGAGTTTCAACAAATATGTGAAACTGAGCAAAAATATCAAAAAAATCAGATTTTCGGCGCAAAGGATAGAACCACGTAAATCGGGAGTAGTCATCGATAAAAATGACATAGTATGAATATCCATGTTTAGATAATATGGGAGCAGGTCCCCACAAATCACAATGTACCAACTGTAAGAAAGAAGTTGATCGTTTTTCATTAATTTCAAATGGCAGACGTTTACTTTTTGCTAATTGACATGAATGACAAACTGAAGGATTGGGCAAAACTGAAGTAACAGAAACATGGCCCAATTTATTTAAACAACGAATAGTATCAAAAGATGCATGCCCAAGACGATGATGCCAAAGCTCAAAAGATGCCTTAAGCTTACGTGAGCGAAGTTCTCCAAGAAACACCTCTTTCCCTCGTTCAAGAACATAAAGTCCATGCTTATGTCGGCCCCTTCCCACGATCTCCCCTGTGATCTTGTGCTGAATAGTAAAAGCATTTGAATCAAATAAGACAGTAACAGGCATGTCTCGTGTTAATTTACTGATAGAGAGCAGATTTTTGGAGATATGAGGAACCACAAGAACATTGGATAGATTAAGATTAGAGGTTATAGCATAATCACCAGTGTGGGATATAGAGAGTTCAGCACCATTTCCCACGGAGACATGAGAATTACCAGAGTAAGGAGTGAAAGAGTCAAGCTGTGATGGTGTGGAAGTCATATGGGAGGAAGCACCCGAGTCCACATACCAATCTGATGAGTCAGGAGACTGTAGGGAAACAGCATGGAAAGCTTGAGCCAGGTTAGCCTGAGAACCAGTCGAAGTAGAGCGGTGATAACGATCCGGACAATCTCCTGCAAAGTGTCCTTCAGTGCGACAAATTTGGCAGCGCTGAATGAAGGGGCGACGATTATTTTTGAGAGAGCGATGGCCAGAGGGCGGGCGATTAGGAGGTGCTCGACCAAGCAATCCTTGACGGTTACTGTGGGAACCAGAGGGCTTGCCGCGGCTAGAACCAGAAGACGCAGCAAAAGCAACAGTAGGTGAGGAAGGTGAATCCTCAAAAGATTTTTGAAAAAGAGCATAATTTTTGGCTTCAGAAATAACATCAGTGAGAAGCGGAGTAGTCGGCAGACGAATTTGATCAAGAGAAAATTGGGAGAAAGACGGACCAAGCCCTCGTAAGTACCAATGGAGTTTGTCAGTGTCAGACACAACACAATTGATAGCCGCCAACTGATGACACAGAGCGGTAAAGGTATTGCTGAAATCGTCAACAGAAGCAGAACCACGACGGAGATTTTGCAGTTCGTCTTTCAATTGAATCTCGCGTGATTTAGATTGGAGAGAATAGATCTGTGCAAGAGCAGTCCAAACAGCAGCAGCAGATTTGCACCCAAGGGTATGTGCCATGGATTCTTCTGAGAGGGAAGAGAGTAGCAGGCTATGAAGGCGCTGATCCTGCGCGACCCAGGCTTTCTGAAGTCTGATAGCATCCGCATCAGAGGAAGAGGAAACAGATGGCTTAGGGTTGGTACCGTCTAGAAATCCAAATAGGCCTTGGCTTTTGAGAAGAGTTTCCACTTGAGTTCTCCAAAGAAGGTAATTAGTGGACGATAATTTGATGGTGAGCATATGTATAAGGGTAGCATATGGAAGGGAGTTGTCTGCATCCGCCATTGAGAAAAGAAGAATATGAGAAGGAAATAGCAGTACGGTTAGGGGTAAACCTATACTGATACCATGTGAATAAAATCACCCTTGGTCCTTGGGTGTATGTTCATACATTAATTTATACAGAAAGTATATACAAGTATAAGGAAGGTAATTAATACACAATATTACAGAATATTGATATTACTATAAATACAATAGGTATATCAAATTACTTCCTAACACCTGAGTTGAATATATTGTATGTTGCATGTATTCAAATTTCTATTAATTAATATTTAGCCACCTATGTGCCTCGCGTATAGTATATAGAGAGAGCTTTACGAGAAATGATTCAAACAATGGTAATTTTTCTTAAATTTAGTCCAATGAAAAACTAAATGTGTCATGGTGTTGGATAGGGTTAAGACAAATCTACAATTTGTTATACAGAGTACTATTTTCTAATCCTCTCACAAGTCTCATTACTTAGAATCATTTTTTCTAAATTTTTTGGACCCACGCATCCATTGATTATTTTCTTGTGTGATGATGTTTCCTCTTGCAACAATACACAATAGGATATACGAGTATATACTCTTGAATCTCTCAACAACACCCAAGACCATATCGTAGTATTTAAGGATATGATACTTTTTAGCAAGACACATATTCTTAGCTTAACTATACTAATTACAGGCAATTAATTAAACTAAACACTGTTGGGAAGCTCAATTCCCTTCTCTTTAGACTCATCCTTTTCACTCTTTTGGATCTCAATTGGTTTGAAAGTATAGAACTTGGCGCAAAAAAGGTAGTAAACAAAGTTGAACACTTGTAAAAGTGTGACCAACCAATAAAAGTACTCCAATTTCCCCTTGTTCAAATTGTTGTCCGGAAGCCAATTTGATCCATCCGGGCCCGAGCTGTACTTGTGCACCAAAGAGACCAAAAATGAGCTTGCATAGTTCCCAGCCGCAATGGCGGTCCAGAACAATGCCGAGGCAGTGCTCCTCATGCTTTCGGGAGATTGATCATAGAAAAACTCGAGGTGCCCGATCGACATGAAGGCCTCGGCAATTCCATGCAGGCAATATTGCGGGACCAGCCAGAAAACCGGGATCGGTATCGTCACATCCGTCGAGTCGGTTAATCCGTGGGCCGAGGCGACGTGCTTGCGCTTCGTCTCCACGAACCCTGCCACGAGGGTGGCAAAGATGGAGATGGCAAACCCGATCCCCATGCGGGTCAGGAACGAGACACCGCGTTGGAGGCCCGTGATCCTGCGGGCCACGGGCACGAAGACGCGGTCGTAAAAGACAATGGTGCATAGCATTGACGAGAGGGTGAAGACGGACATGGAGGCGGCCGGGATTTGGAAGGAGCTTGTGAGGTGTCTATCCATGGTTTTTGCTTGTTGGATTGAGAATGTGTTTTGCTGGGCGTAGGCTGTGATGAGAATGATTCCGGATGCCCATATTGGGCCCATCCGGAGCACGGACTTGAGCTCTTCTATCCGGTGGACTGTGTTTAGACTCCATAGGTTGGGGCATTTTGGGTCCTCGTTGTCCATTACAATTGCTGCCTTGTCAAGGAATCTTCACAAACCAAAACCAAGTTAATTCAAATCCTTTTGAACTTTATTTTTATATAGTTTGTAATTTAAATTTGTGGCCCTTTATATCAACTGATGGTAATAATTTAATAAAAGTATATAAATTTAATCAATTGGTGAAATATTTTTTAGACTAATAAAGTATATCGAACACTAGGCAACAAATTAAATTAACTCATGAAAAACAAACGAGTGATGATATACTACCACCAACTTTTCTATAGTAATTCACCGTAAGTGATTTTTATAATTTATCCTAACTAACTGAAATAAAGGTTAATTCATAAAGAGAAAAGGAGCAAATAAGTCATCTAACTATTTGTGATTCTGCAACCAGACCCATGAACCGGAAACTTGCAAATACACCCTTCAACTCGTTGAAAATTTAGCAAGTATACAATTCAGAAGGATGGCAAAGTTTAATTTGTGGTATTAGTAGCTACGTTCATTGGGAACTTTCATACTACGATTATATTATATTTAATTAATATTTAAAATACTTATGAGTTAATACTTCGAGAAACACCAATTTTCTAAGTTTATACACGCAGACACGATTTAGGATAGACTCGTACCACGGTGACAATTATTTAGGCAGTATTTTATATTTTTATGTCACTGCACCACTTTATTTTGCGTGTTTGGTTTGTCAATCTCCCACACGAAAACACGAAACTAAATTTTGACCATACCCAGACGATATGACTTCGATAATAAAAGACAAAAATATAATATAATATTTTCCTCATTTATTTGTTTCCTATCCTACGTACACGAATACATGATAGACTCGGATAGATATTTTAAGATCTTACGTAGTTCAGAGTATTATACTCCGTGTTACTTTATTCATTTATATTTTATTGGGACCCTAAAGAATGTTGTTACTTGAACTTATTTTAGTCTTATAGCACATTAGACCAGATTATACCATAATTAATTAATTATATAGATTAGATTACACTTGAACATACAAGATCATACGAGCCTAAAGAGACCAGAGTTAAACAGATCAAATTTGAACAGAGCAGATCAAACAAACTAGATTTCAACAGTTATAAATTGCACAGAAACCTGACCATAATATTTCATTCCAAGTAAATACATACTTATCGCTATCTCTTTGTCAAACAACCCATAAAATCATGTGAAAGCACATTATATGGTAGTGTATTGATATACTACGTATGTCATTATTGTACATTTTACCTGAAGGTATGCACTGAAAGTTTGAAATTAATGCTATTCAAATCGTGTTTACACCAGACACTTTCATCCATATTATTAAGAGAATATCCCTGATATTGGTGGTCATTGAGAGGGGGCCTTAAAATAGAAAATTAGATGACAATGGCTTAAAAGTAAGGACCACAAAAACGTGATTACCAATTTACGACTCCGTATGTTAACATCACATTCCCATTTTTGAGCAATATACGACCTCTTTAAATTAGTGTAATTTATCACAAATATATAAATGTCTTTCTTTTCTATACACCTTTAGACCTTTAGTTTTCTATAGTTTTCATTTTTCCTTTTATGGTATGGCCCGTAGACCCTTGACATAACTTACGTAGGGAGTGTTTGCAACTGCTTCTGCTTAAATAAAAGCACTTTTGGAGATATAAGGAAAAAGTGATTAGTAGGAAAAGTTGATAGTGTTTGAGAAAAAAGTAATTTTGAAAAGTAAAAGTTGATAGTGTTTGGTAAAATAAGTGCTTTTCGTGTAATAGAAAGGGGAAAAGCACTTTTCACACGCAAGCCGAGAAAAAGTTAAAATTGGTAGTGTTTGGTAAATAAGTGTTTTTTTAAGACAAAAGCTGAGAAGTGCTTTTTTTTAAGTGATTGCAAACACTCCCGTAGTACTCCGTATGATTAACTTATATATACAGCATGAACCGAATATATATAAAAATATAATTTTAGACGAAGATAGACCTCATAGACGTAATATGTTAAAATTGTTCTACCTCTCAAATTGTTTGTCCGATCATCTTTTTCTATTTGAGTGTTTTGTCCTTTCATTTAAATTCCTGATTTCCCGTATGGGATAGATTAGGTAAACCATAAGACTCGTCACATAATTTTGCATGAAATGGGATGATGATGATTTTAATTGTATTAATTTCAACAGTATAATAAGAATTAAACAAACATTTATTTGATCAGACTAGATTTAAAAAATTATGAGGGTGTTTGTGTATGTAATGACGTTTTACCTCAAAACGCTATATTTTCAACATAAACGCTATGAAATGCAATGTTTATGCCACCAAAATGCTGAAATACAAATCAAACTAGAAAATATAAATCTGTTTATCATTGTAAATCTAAAGATTTCGTAAGTCCTTTAATTCCCCTAGCGTAGATTTGAGTTGAAAGACACCTCGATTCTCGATCATAATCCTCGTATGTTATGTTCATAACAAATTTATCCAATTGTAGCTCCCCCAATATAAGATGGTTGTGACATTATCACAATAATATATTATATACGGAGTATATACTTATTATTTATGATCCATATCCTCATATTTTCTGAATATACTCCGTATTATTCAGGGTACGGTTAAGAAGACAGTCTTAATTGTTGGCAAAAGGTACATACGAACACATGTGTTCAACTCTTCCGTTGCAGTGCATCTTTATAGTTATCCTGACACGATACTTTAAAATACCGTATATAATACGGAGTAGTCCTTAGCTTTAATAAAGTTATCATTATATTTTTATAGAATGTCTCATTTAGTTAGTAAAACACTCACTAAAACACTTTGATGATGCATTTTATTAGTACTAAGGGGTGTTTGGAACTAATTCTGTTTCTGCTTCTTTTTTTAAAGTAGAAGCAGAATCAGAATCAGTTTTCAGAAGCTGGTACCCCCCAGCTTCTAAAAAAACTGATTAGAGCACCAGAGGTGCTTCTGGAATTTCACCCAAAGACTCCAGTTTCCGTTTCTGCTCCCTGAAGGAGCAGAATCAGTTTTGAGAATCAGATCCAAACACCCCTTAAATAAACTTTATCAATCATGCATATCTATCAATATGGTCTATATATGTCTTGTTCCTACAATGCTATGAGCAATTTCTTATAGATAGTAGTAGTACTCCGTATGTCTTATGTGTGTTACTTGTTCGTGAATTTGACTTTCTTAAACCTTCAACTGCTGAAAAAAGTAAAGAATGTGCACACAAAATGTCATTGTTACAATAGTGGAATAATATAAAATGAAAAAAACACAAATAGTGCACTGTTGTACTCCGATTTGTATTTGTTTTCTATGAGCACACTATAAAACTTGAGCCCGGTACGTACTAATATTGGATGATTAGATTGAGCACACTATATTGGATAATAAAATGTTCGAATTAGTTGAATCTACTAACTTATGAAATAACTATGTTTTAAGGCCATACGTTTGAAATAAAACATGCCATTTTCAGCAAACCACCGTGTAGCACGGAAACTCTTGGGAAAGAGTATGTTTCCCATTTCTGAAACTCCTCGAAACTCTTTGAAAACTCTTCAAATAAGTCTTTTTTAAGCAAAAGATGACGTTTCACGTTTCCCGTTTCCTCATGATTTTCGTGTTTCCGTGCAACATAGGCTACTTGAGAAAATCTCTAGCACTAGTTGGTTACAATTTGTTGCTTTAAAAGATGAATGGGCAAACACATCTAGCTAATAAGCCAAGGAATTACTTACGCATGCACTCATTATGAATTTTGGTTAAGTGAATTATTTCTAATCGTTGATCAAAAGTCAAATTTATAATTATCCCAACTCCACCAAAGCAAGTAATAATGTTCAATAATTTTCGAAAGGACATCATGAGTTGGATACATCACTACACCCTAAATAGTATCGTGCCAAGACTTAATCTGTGGCCTCTTCTTACATACCAAAGGCCCTACAGTTTTGGAAGATTATACTACTAAAAAGGTCAGAATAAAGGACCTACACTTTAGGCCTACAAATTACTCCGTCTAATCAAAGCACGTGAATTAAATGAGTTATATTGGGTAATTCTTTTTTAAAATATAAAATATGGGTTCTTTTTTATTCGTATTCCTATTTTCAGTATTTGGACCAATTTCTTTTATACAGAAATTATATACATGCACTTAAATTGTTAAAAAAGACTTACTTCATATGTTTAGTGTGACAAAGCTTCCCTGCGAGAGAAATAGCACAATCAAGCTCCTCATTTTGATAAAGCATTGCCGGATCGGAGACCATGGGCACCTTCCTCTTCTTGTATGCGGCCACACACACTTGCACGAGCCGCGTGAAAGGGCTGCCCGCGGGAGCCAAGTTCCGATACAAAGGGTACCCGAAAACAAACGTGACAATCGAGATTGCCATGGCTATGGTGGGGACGCCGAATCCCCACCCCCAGCCAATGTTATCTTGTATATAAACCACCACGGTCACCGCCACGAGCATGGATCCTCCCATACAGAAGTAGTACCAATTGAAGAATCTCCATGTTTGTGTCTTTTGTTGCGAGTCGGCCTCGTCAAACTGATCAGCCCCAAATGCCACCACACACGGCCTGATCCCGCCCGACCCGAAAGCGGTTAGGAGTAGGGAGACGTAAAGGACCGCAATTTGTCCCGAGTTCGCTTCCTGGCAACTATGGTCTGGTTTGCACGGTGGTGGCCTTAATTGTGGTAGTATTGCCGATATTGTTAAGAGAGTCATGCCCTAATAATCAAGTACAAACCATATATTATATAAAATACTAAACTACGTAACACTTATATAATTTTCTTTTACAACTTATGCGTTTTATATTGCTACAATCATTTTATGAACCACAAAACATCCATTGCTTAAAATTGAACATCACCACAATCACAATAGTAATTGAAAAAATGTCATATCATAACAACCATAAGCCTGTTTGGTTCGGCTGAATCGGCTAATTATGCAGAAATTTATGAAATTATGGCTAAAGTGACTGATTCTGCTGAATTATATGAAAAAATATAATTAGAATACATCTTATTGATAAAATAAAGAAAAAATTACATGTAAAAACAGCTAAAATAGTACTCTATAGTAACTTGAGTCAATACAACCAGAAAATTAACTTCAATCATACTTTTTCTTATTATTACACAACGCAACGCACGACATCAATAATTACGTGTTTGGTGAAAAAGTTGATTGATAAACCTGATAAACCGAAAACATGATCCAAATGGGCTCTATATGCAAGTCAAATTTGTGTCTAGTACTTTCTTCCTGGTTCTTTACTTAGTCATACCTTTTTAATTCGAGAAATTTAGATAGATTTGTCTCCAAAAAAACAAAAAATCTTAAACTATTCTTACTAGATTGACTTTTTCAAAAGCATATCTTAAAAACAATACTCAAAGATACTTACAATTTGATAGATGATGGAAGCAATAGTTATGGTCCAAAACCTTCCGGCGAAGGTGTCGGCGAGAAAAGCTCCGAGCAAGGGGGTCAGGCTGGCGGTTCCGCCGAAGTTGGTGAGAGTATTCGCCGCTTTAGTCAACGGAAGATGCAACTGAGTGGTCAAGTAGATAATCATGTTAGCTGCAAATCCCACCACGGCCAACTTCTCACACACCTCATTGGCTGCCATCATATAATTAAACTGGTTAATTAAAGCATTAATTAAGTAAAATTATTGAAGAAATATTGACTTGAAGAAGCTAATTGAATTAATTGAGCTTATAATATACCAAATATGAATGGCATGGTGATCATTCCACCCTTCATTCTTTTGGGGACGGCTTTCTCCATAGCTCCTTCCTTCATTCTATGAGAATTAAGATGGTTTAGCCAGCCAGCTAGCTACTTAATTACTACTATAATTCTTGCATCAAGCTAGCTAGGTCATGTGTTGTGTGTGTCCAAGCTTTGGGTTTTATAGGTGAGATGATGAAAGTGTGATTGACCGCCTCTGACTACGAGTAAGAGCTATGGAGAAAAATATAATCCACTCATATAATCATATATGATTAGGAGTACTCACTATGGTAATTTGAAATTGGCATATGTTGAACGGTGAAATTTCGAGTGAAATGATTGAATCTACTAAATTATGAAACAATTAGTTTTAAATTATGCACTCTTAACTAAGTAAAGAAAAATAACGTGAAAAGGTCAAAATAGTCATGTTCACCAAAATCACCTAATTCGGCTAGAAACATAAGTCCAATTATACTTGTTTTGATTATGAGATAATTTAAAATCAAAAGTTTATTATTTTGTAATAATTTGATTGATAGGGCTGATATGCCGGAAAAGGAGGTACCAAACGGGCCTTAATGCCTACTCCCTCCCTTATATTTATTTCCTTAGAAGGTAGAAGAAATGCAAAAAATTATAGATCAAGAAGTATGAAATATGAGATGCATATAAAAGTGAAAAAAGTATGAATTTATAAAGTATGAATGCAGAGGAGGAAATGTAGACAAAATGAGAGAATTAACATATTACTATAAGACAAAATTTGAAATTACTCAAAATGAAAATAGATCGAACAAATGATAAAAAGTGCTTAATGCAGAACAAAAAAGAAGTGAGAAGGTATATGCAAATTTTGAAATTGCGTTTATGCAAATTTTAAAATTGTGTTTATGCAAATTTTAAAATTGCGTTTGTGCTTTTTAAAGGATCCTATTTTTAAACACAACGAATAAGAGTTTACACTTTTTAAAGGACCCTGTTTTTTCAAATCACTAAAATTAGTATTTATAGACAAGAAGCTCTGTTAACCGGGGGTACAAGCTTGGATGTAACAAGATTACTTCCAGATGGGAATTTCAATCCAATTTTTGTTCCATGATGGAGTTTCCATCGCATTTTCAGACCTTGTTAATATCAAACATTAACACTTCGGTGCAGATTTTAATGAATTGACAAATTAGACACAAATGTGTTATCATAATATTAAACCAAGTCATATAACTGTTTGCTGAAGAATAGGGCAGATAAGGCTAGACTATGTGAAGAGTTTGCTTTAGGATTTACAGTTATTTCTAGTATTATAAATATTGAAGAGCTTTAGCTTTGTACTTACTTGAACTCGATCAATAAAAATATCCCTTCAAGTTCTTTGATTTTCTTTCTCTCCCTGAATACAAATTAAGATATAGTGTGAATATACATATATCTACACTTGGTATCAGAGCCATCACACTTCCAATCCTGAAATATTTTCCCCTTGTGAAATATGGCAAATAATTTCAAATTTCAATATTGTTTGGTCTGGCCCAAATTAGATGGGAAGCTCGATTGTAATTATTGGCAGATAATGATGTCCACACATTTGAAGGCTCAAAATATTTGGAGTTTTATTGATCCTGGACTTGCGGAAGGTGCTGATGTAAATTCTCAGAAAAGAGATCAACTCGCATTGGGACAAATTCACCAAGGTGTTGATTACTCTGTTTTTGGGCAAATAGCTGGTGCAAACACAGCAAAGGAGGCGTGGGACATTCTGAAGGTGTCATATGAAGGAGTTGATCGAGCGCAAAAGTCAAAGTTGCAGTTGTTAAGAAGGGTATACGATCGATGTGAGATGACCTCTATGAAAAACTGGAACAATATCTTTCTCATCTTACTAATCTTGTTAATAAGATGAGACTATATGGAGACAAAATTGATGATGGTTCTGTGGTTGACAAAGTGCTTCGAACTGTGCCGATGAAGTATGATCATGTGGTGGCCTCAATAACAGAGTCACCTGATGTTGAACTCCTATCGGTTGCAGAGTTGAAAGGAATGACGGAGAGCCATATCGATAGGATTGATGCAAAAACACAATCATCAATAGAGGAGGCTTTAAAGAGTCAAGTCAATCTTAACTCGGCTGATTCTAATTAAAGAGGAAGAGGACCTGGTAGAGGTCGTGGAAGAGGAAGAGGAGGATCTAGAGGAAGAGGACGTGGAAACACAAATCCAGGAAGACGTGGAGGCATTTCCAATCAGGATAAGTTTCCATATCATTGTTACAAATGTGGGAAGATTGGACACAAAATTGCAGATCGCTGACATAATAAGAACAATCAAAGCAATCAAACAAACATAGTTGAAAATTCTGGTGAGCAATCCAATGAATCTGAAACTTTACTTTTGGCAAGTGATGCTTTGCTTGCAGATGAGAACATATGATTTCTGGATACTGCTTGTAGTAACCATATGTGTGGAAGAAAAGAACTATTTTTCGGAGTTGGATGAATCATTTCGATCTGAGGTTACTTTTGGCAATAAATCAAGAGTACCAATACTGGGAAAAGTTAAAGTTTCGATTATGTTGAAAGATGGTACACACAATTTTATATCCGGTGTTTTTTTCGTTCCTGAACTTCATCAAAATCTGTTGAGTTTGGGACAATTGTCAGAAAAGGGGTATAAAATAAGCATTTCTCAGGGATGTTGTATTATCACTAAAACTAATGGGAATCTGATAGCAGAGGTAAATATGTCACAAAATCGGCTATTTGCTTTGAAACTTAATCACACATTTTTTCCATGCTTTAATTCTGAGATTCCAAATGAGAATTGGTTATGGCATATGCGGTTTGGGCATTTTCATTTCTCGGGGTTAATGTAACTTGCAAGAAAGAAGCTAGTTTCTCATTTGCGTGTTGTGGATATACCTAATCGTGTTTGTGAGATTTATGCGGTTGGGAAGAAGCACAGAGAACCTTTTACTACAGGCATGTCCTGGAGAGCCACAAAGCAGCTAGAGATTGTTCATTCAGATTTGTGCTCATTGGAGGTTCACTCATATGAAGGTAGTAAGTATTTTATTTTTATTACTTTCATTGATGACTTCAGTAGAAAAACATGGATTTATTTTCTAAGCCAAAAGTCAGATGCTTGCACAATTTTCAAACAGTTCAAATGCTCTGTGGAAAAACAAAGTTGTTTTGAAATAAAAATCTTTATGACTGATAGGGGGACAAAATATATTGTGTGTGATGAGTTTTTAAACAAGAATGGAATTCAACATCAGATGACAGCTAGATACACTCCGCAACGGAACGGAGTGGCTGAGAGAAAAAACAGAACCATCATGGATATGGTAAGGTGTATGTTGAAGTCTAAAAATATGCCTAAGTTTTTTTGGGCAGAAGCTGCTGCCTGTGCAGTTTATATGTGGAATTGGTGTCCAACGAAAAGTGTCAGAGATAAAACACCGGAGGAAGCGTGGAGTGGAAGAAGGCCTTCTATCAGACACCTCAAGATCTTCGGTTGTTTAGCCTATGCCCATGTGCCAGATCAATTGAGGAAGAAACTTGATGATAAAGGTGAGAAATGCATCTTTATTAGTTATAGTGATTCATCAAAGGCTTATAAACTTTATAATCATGAAACAAAAAACTTGTTATAACTCATGATGTCATTTTTGATGAGTATGGTGTCTGGGATTGGTCTACAAAGGAAGAAAGACCAGTTATTGTTCCTGTTAATGATCAACCGTCTTTACAACCTGAATTATCAATTTGTAGATCCCAACACGAGCATATCATACCAGCTCGTTTGCAGGATTATGTTGTGGGCAATGATCTTTCCGATGAAGAGATTGTTCAATTTGCCCTTTTTGCAGATTGTGATCCTGTATCGTTTGAGGATGCTGTTATAGAATCTCAATGGCTTAAGGCAATGGATGAGGATATATGTTCCATTGAAAAAAATGGTACCTGGGAGTTGACAGATTTACCTCCAGAAAAGAAGCTGATTGGAGTAAAGTGGGTGTTCAAGACAAAATACAAGTCTAATGGTGAAGTTGACCGGTTTAAAGCGCGGCTGGTAGCAAAGGGTTACAAACAAAAACCAGTTATTGATTATTTTGAAGTTGTTGCTCCAGTAAGCAGACTTGATACAATACACATGCTTATTTCCATTGTCGCTCAAAATAATTGGAAAATACATCAGATGGATGTAAAGTCAGTCTTTTTAAATGGTTCTTTGGAAGAGGAGATATATGTTGAGCAACCTGCATGATATGTGAAGCAAGGTGAAGAAAACAAAGTTTATAAGTTGAAAAAAGCCTTGTATGGATTAAAACAAACACCAAGAGCTTGGTACAATTGCATTGATTCCTATTTTATTGAAACTGGTTTTATGAGATGTCCTAATGAGCATACTTTATACGTTAAATGTGCTGACTCAGGAGATATTGTGATAATATGTCTTTATGTGGATGATCTTATTTTCACCGGAACCAGTGTAACACAAATCTTAGATTTTAAGGAAGCCTTAATTAGCAAATTTGAAATGACTGACAAGGGATTAATGTCTTACATTCTTGGGCTTGAAGTTTCTCAGATGGGAGATGGAATTTTTATTTCACACAAGAAATATGCTTGTGACATTTTGAAGAAATTCAATATGAAGGATTCCAAGCCAGTCTTGACCCCTGTAGCTGAGAAAATGAGATTGACCAGTGATGAAGGTGGAAAGGAAGCAGATGTTACTGCTTATAAGAGTTTAATTGGTAGTTTGAGGTATTTGGTTGCTACAAGACCGAATATTTCTTTTGGAGTTGAATTGCTTAGCAGGTTTATGGTGTAACACCGTCCCCAAATATATTTACCTTTATGTAAATTATGTATTGAACGTGGTTTATTGAGTAATGAAGTTACGAGGTTGTAAATTTTGTTACTTCTTTTGCGTGAATAGTAAATTCCACGTGGGGCCCACACACGGAGCGGGGGGTAACCCAATAATCCGGGACCACATATTATATTCATCTTGGCCTAGATAATAGTTATATGGTGGTGGAAATTCATGTTGGGCCATAAGAAAGGTATTGGGTTGACAGGTTGGTCAAACAGAGTCCAATTACCGGTACTGGCATTTTATCAGATAACAGCCCGAAATGAATTTCGGAGACTTTTAAAGTAAAGTTGGGGAATGTACATTCATTCTTAAGATCTATAATTGTTATGGAC